TTGCAATTTCAATCTGGAGACTATTTGGTACCATAATCAAATAGTAGCAAAAAAAAAAAGGCTTCAACAAAATCAAGCAAGTTGGGATCTGGTTAGTAATATGTGGATGGAAGACCACCAGGGAATCCCAAGGCGATAAGCTAAAAGGGAGCTGGTAGGCGAAAAACAGTGGCTGCCTTTGCCTTCTCTTGCCAAGAAAACTTCACCAACCTCTCATAGCATCATGCCTGATTTGGATGACACTTTATTATCAAAAAGAGGCAAACTGAACTCCTTTCCTAGTAAAACTAGCGCAGTGACGATCTGGAGAGGGACAGGGTTTGCTTAGTCAGGTGTCAATGACTCTGGGAAACCCGAAGAGTTACTGGAGAATGAACCCAGCTGCTATTGTGGCAGGTAAAAGGGATGGAGTATCAATGAGTGGACGGGGCAAAATTGTGTGTGTGTCTCCAAAAGGCTAATTCTGCCAGAAAATGCGCTTCTTTTGTTTGCTTCCCTCCGCCACCCCCGACCTTCCGAGTGCCCGAGAGGCCACAACTGTTGCAGCCGTCTTAAGCTCGCTGCCTGGAAGCCGCGGGGCACGGCTCTCAAGGGAGCCACTGCTTTGGGGCTTTGCCCTACAGACAGCTCTCCCCAGCGAGCTCTGCTCTTCTGCCTCTTGCCGAGGTCAAGAGCCGCGAATCGGGGCATTGGGATGGGGGAGAGCGCCGACCCAAGACAGGCAGGTTTCAAGAGAGGGTCAGTCCGTCTCGGGCTCGGCGAGTTCTTCCTTTGGCAAACGGTGGGCCAGTCGCGCCCTCCCTGGCTTGTCGGCGGCCAGGAGCGCTTCCACGGGAGACGTTTGGCCAAAGCGCTCTTCTTTCCCTTCTGGCAGCCACCCGCCCGGGCGACTCCTCATTTCAGCCCCTCCCCTGCAGATCCAGCCCCCTTACTCCCCCCTCCCCCCGGCGTTTAACTAACTCGGGACACCAGCGCAGGAACCATGCCTAATTAAATTAATTAGGGCTTGTTGTCAATCCTGGATTAATGGCCGAGAGAGAGCGCGCGCGAGAAAGCCCAGCAGCCGGATCTGGAAAGGGGGCGAGGGGCGGGGTGGGGTGGGGGGGAGACGGGGAACTTCTCCCTCTCCCCACCCCCACCCCTTCCCCGCCTGGCTCCTTTTTCTCTTTCGGCGGTGCGCCTGGGCTGCTCTAGGAGAAGAAGGGGGTTCATCCCCAGTACCAGAGGGGAGGTTGTTTGCTCCCAACGAGGGGCTGGCTCTGCAAAGTATAAATAGTGGGGACTTCAATCACCGAAGCCCAGACAGATCGGAACTCTTCGCGGGGAGAATTGTCAAAGGTCGGTTTTTACAAGCTTCGCTCGGGGTTGGGAAACCTCCGCTCCCATTTAAGGCTCCAGCCAGCCCCTCTGCGGCTNATCTATCTATCTATCTATCTATCTATTCATTCCTTCCCAGAGACCTGGGATACAGAGATGTAATTGTTTGATGGAATTAAAGGTATTGTTGTAAGATGTAAGCTATATTATTATCCAAAAGCAAAAGCCTTAGTCATTCTCCAATGCAAACAACCATCCCAACCTTATTTTGTCCCAGCACTTTCTGGCTTTCAAAAGGCTAAGTACTTATATTACAATCATGTGACTAGGGATGCTGCAATGGCCAAACTTCAAGGACTGATTTTAAATCTTATTATTCAGTGACATCATAATTTTGAATGATCGTTGAATGAGTGGTTGGTAAGCAAGGACAAACTGTATGGATTCAGTTCTTTCTCTAAAAAGATGCCATTTGTTTAAAAAAAATTAATTAGGCAAATTATATAAACTGACCCAAGTAAGTTATATGAATGTTACAATTTATACATCATTTTACCATCATAGAATCTAATATACTGAACTATACCTGATGAATACTTTAAAATTTTCATTTACCAACAATTTTAAAACTGAAGTAATACCTTTTTTCATACGAATGTGAACGAAACTGGACATCTCGAGACCGTGATCTTGTTTTTCTTCCTGACTTTTTATGGCTGTAACTTCTACTATCTGAGGAACTGCTTGAAGATGACCTTCTACGATGTTTCTTTTTTCTTTTGCTTTTAGTTTCTTCTTCAGTGTCTGATGAATGGCGACCCATTTTAGTAAGCTAGTTTTTACAAAAAATAGAAAACTTTAAAAATTAAAAAGTATTGTATGATTAATAGAAAAGTGTATCATTACCAAATTCCCACTCACTGGTCTTAAATTGAAACCAAAATCGTACCTACTATCTATTCTCACTATATAAGAAACACTGTTTTCCAAAATATAATCATGCAAACTTTTCCACTTTTGGAGATGACACAATGCTTTATGTAACCTTAAAAAAAAGAAATAAACTAAATGATCTTAGAATATAAGTTTGTACACTCTTAAATCCTATTAAGCTCAACAGAACTTTATAAAATGGATAGACCAATTTACATTTCATAGAAAGCACATAATTGTTAATGCAGTTCTAGCAAAACCTTACGAGGTACAAAAAGGAAAAGAAACATTACTGGGAAAACTAAAAGAATTTGGTGCATTCGTAGATTTTAAGATTAACAAACAGAAGTTGAGGATATTAACAGAAATATGTAAATACATCTAAATTTGTGTGGCAAGCGAAAAAACCCACAAGTTAGAATATAAGGTATTACAGGTACAAAGGAAAGAGGATTGTGTCTACCTGATTTGAGAGTGGGTTTTGGGGTGTGTGGTGGTTGTGTGTGGTGGTTGTGTGTGGTGGTGGTATGTGGTTTGGTGTGGTTTGGGTTGGTTTGGTTTGATTTGTGCTGCTGAGAAATAGAAAGCTCTTAGACTCAGACCAACACAACCTGATATTTGGCACGGATCTTTGTGGTATGACAAAGCCAAAGTTAATGTGGATTTTAAAAATCATCATCGCTGGACATGCCACACTGAGAATACAGAATAGACATAAACCCAAGTTGTGCCCCAAAACACCTTTGTGGCTGTCAGTACAAGAAACATTTTATATAGAAAAATAATAGGCAACCCCAAATAGGTAGCTTACTGAGGTACTAGAATTTTGTTAAAGGGGGGGGGATAAAAAAATAAAAATCAAGAAGAATTGGTGACAGAAATAAATAGCTGGCAATGTTTTTCGTATCTACAATTATTAGAAAGATTTAAAACAAACAAAAGTTTATGGTTTTTCAATAAAAAAAGGATGAAATAGAATTATGTGTAAATGAAGTATATGCAATTGCTAAAATGTATAAACTTTTGCTTTTGAAATAGAACAAGTGAAAGAGTGTACGATAAAGTGTTCGGTTATAATATACAGATGGAACAATGGAGACACATGTGGTTGAAAGGATTGAAATATACATATTATAATCGGTAACTGGCGGACGAGTAAAAAAAAAAGCTAGAAAATTTTGGATTTTTGGACATGTACTGATTCAGTGGATTTTAAAGATAAATAGAAAACTGAAGCCAGCGGTCTTTCTTTTGGGATTGATGGACAAACTGTTAAGAAACTGCTTCGAAAGCAAAGGCGGCTCCGGGCCACCTTTCGTACCCAGAGGGCTTTTCTCAGCGCTTCGGAGAGAAGATGCCACCGCAAACATCCTCCCTGCCCAACAACTCTCCCCACCGCCTCACCTGACGGAGGAAAAAGACGAGGAGCCGAAGGAAATGCCGGAATGTGAATACACCCCCCCCCCCCACCAAACAGGTATGAGTTATTACTAAGGAGCTTGGGAACTGAGCAATTAGAATTTGGTCAAATTGTGCA